ACTGGATGAGAAACACTTGGTGTTTTATTCGAATCTGCAAGAATTATGCCAGGCTATTCAACCATATAACTTAAAACAATTTATCCAAACTTCTCTCCATTATGCCATTGATCAAATTTTATTGAATAATGAAAAATCCGTTTATTTATTCAATCATATTATGTCTTCTTATGTCACCACTTTAAAAAACAATTCGATACAAATAGGAAATCGCACACTGCTAACCACCATGTTGGAAGAGATATCGGAAAAAGTGGATTTAACGTCTAAACATTTCGAAAAATATATTGCGGCTGTGATGGAATTGTTGACTAAAGATGTCGAAAGAATGACGTCGCCTTACACCTGGTGGGAAGTAACACCAGAAAAACTGAAAACCGCTATCGCTATTAGAGTCCAATCAGCCTTCAGAGGAGAATTCATTGGCACGCGATTCACTTGGTTGAAAGACCTTATCAACGCGACTGAATTTAATATTGAGTAAGTATAAAACAATTACACAATAGATCTTGTACTCGACCAAGTTGCCTAATAAATTTTCCTCTGTCTTTATAGGATGCAAAAATATTTGTTAGAAAGTATACAAAAAGTGCAGGCTGAATTGAGATTGGAGAAATCCTATGATCTGGAAATACAAAAAGACTGGATTTTAGATTCTATAAGACATATCGATGCGCTTATAGTCGAAACAGAACACGAAAAAATCAATATAACTTTTTACTGTGATATTTTATTTATCTTGATTATCTGTTTATCCGGCATAGAATGTCTTCTGCCGGAAAAAGAATTGTTAATTACTTCGCAAGACACTAGGATAAGATTGTTTCCACAGGCAATCTCTATGCTTATTGATCGACAAATTTGGAAATCCATAACACGTCAGGTATGTAAACTCGTCAGCTATAGATATTATAAAGATTTATAATCACTTGATTTTTAACAATTAAAAAAACATTACATTCATGTATTACAATTGCGGTGGAACTTTTCGTCGCAAAACGAGCAATATGTCTATTATACATTAAATTGATAATTTGTTTTAGATTATGAAATGGCTGAATCACATGAGGAGCAGTTCTGTACCTGATGTATATATACTCGCATTTCAAAGCGCATTAATCTTGTTAAGGCATGAAGAAGACTACAACTTAGAATGGAAAAATTATTTGTCGGTTAAAACTCGTATTTAAATATAACTAAAGAGAAATATGTATACAATAGCCATTTTTATATTAAAAAAGGGAAGTTTTTTTATTGAACTGATTTACTTATTTGTATTATTCAGCCTTGAATTTCATCAATGATATTAAAAAAATCTTATAACGTATATTTATACATCTGATATCCTACTTTAACGTCTATACCTTATTAGTTATTACTAATAAAATAACAATTGTGTTATACAAGCTTTGACAGGTATACATATACATACACTACATACCATATTCTTATCGCATGATTAACACTCAATTCATTAAATTGTTAAAAATTTCTATGTCTAAACAGTGAGACGTATAGAAAAAGATATGCTAATCTGTTATTCTTAATTAAAAGATAAACATTTAAAAAACAGGACAGAGAATAACTTTCTAATATTTTCTAATTACTGTAAACATTTTTCTGAATTTCAACAGGGATATGTAGATCTGTATGCGATCGAGCATATGTAAATTTTAGTAATTATTTATGGAGTCAATTGGAAGATAATGTGCGATTATTGACTTAGCGCTATTATCACTTGAAAAAATTGCATATGACGAAACGGACGCTTTTTTTTTTAATTCTAGTCTACTACTAATTTTCTAATTCGGCGATCTCTACACACCATTACTTCTTATGTACATCAGTACTTTTTAAAATATTTTATAAGCGATTCTGGTGCAAAGAGCGCAAAAATTTTATTTTATAAGGCTAATTGTATAAATGTAAATTTATATAAATATAAAATAAATCACAGAAAGAAACGTACTTGCTCGTTGTATACAAAATATATATCGTTCGATACCTAACTTGAATCGAATGGCGAGCATAGGTGTATTTATTAGTAAAAGTAAAAAATATATAACTCTTAAAAATGTGATTCTATTAAAAAACAATAATTTCATACAATAAGCATAATACCACTCACAATTACATTGCGGACTTTATTATTGAAATGTTCAATTTTTCACTGACTCTCCACTTAGGATTTGACTACTATTTTGCATGGAATACAGTCTGGTAACGATGTTTCGTCAAAAAATTGTATAATTTGGAAGAGAATTTATCACTAAGACACAAGCTAGCGTACATTGATGGAAAACGATAATTATGAAGAAAGAAACAAGAAAAATAATGTTGCATTGCTGTGGATGTAAGTGAATAATTGACTAATGTAGTTTGCGTTAAATCATTTTTGTAATTTCAATTTTATACTGAAGATGGTCATATTATTGACCGAAACGTTTATATAGGCTTATGTTATTGTGTGTGTATGAATAAATTATTTATTTTATAATAATTTATCACAATTAAGATCTTGTGAGTGGTATTATGCTTATTGTATGAAATTATTGTTTTTTAAAAGTAAAAATGTGTATAAATAAATTTCCTAACTAAACCGGACGTTCTATTTGCATATAATTTAATATAAATTATTTTTTGCGTCGTATAACTATTTACAATTTCCTCGTCACATATGTTGTATGTGACGGCACTCATAATGCTACACGGACGTCTCGCTATTATCTAATGTCATTACCGTTAAAGTATTAGGTCTTGAACCAGTTAGAATTTGTTCCTCGGGCGGACGCATCCTAGGCTCCAGAATATTTCTCTTTGTCTCCACATTCTTTTTAATCGGTGTGCGACTAGGGCTGGACTTCCTGCTGCTTGGATATGATTTCAATAAACGTGCCCTGTAAACAATTAATAAATTATACCAAAATCTTTATACCTTTAAATAACCTTTTTTTTTGGCAATATTTATAGGACATATTTATGTTCTAATTTAGATAGCATATTTAAAATCGGAATAGAAGACATTATTTAAACTTTTTTTTAGACATTATATTATAAAATATAAAAAAACATCTTTAAAATGTCTATTCCAATTTTAAACAAGCCAGCTGTTTGGATACTTTGCATCATCTTGAATGGAAAACTGCTGTAGACATTCCAAATACTTACGCATCCATTAACTTTAAAAACAAGCGAGAATATACTTGATATTCCTCGTCACCAAATTCTGTAGGATCATGCCTTGCATGTTCGTACAAATCACAGAACTGATGAATTAAACGCTGGCCACTTCCATTTAATGGAGTAGCGAGTGTGGTGAGCAAGTACGCCCTTAGATTTTCGGAAGGATGTCTCTTCAGACAATTGTCATATCTTGTGATCTCTGCCTCTGTAAATATCACATGAAACAAGATTTAGATACTCAGACAAATAGATATTATATAATGCAAAGCTGGATCTAACAAGGTCTGTTTTTTATTGTTGAACTGATGTGCAGTTCTTTGTATTAAAGTAAAATTGACATATGTGTTTAATATTTGACAAAAGTGAAAAGGAATATAATCTAGTATAATAATAAAAAAAATAAATCTAATGACAGAATGACTTACCTAAAGTTTTAACATCGTCAACTGCTTTTAGTCTGTAATAATGCGGTGGGGCTTGTCCACCTGGAGTCAAAATATACCTGGGGTCGCTGATCAGCTGTGGCTCATATTGGATTCTAGGTATTACTTCTATTCTCCTTTCTATTTCTTTTTTCAAGGACTGAAAAACATTTTCAGTATATTTAACCAGAACACATGATAACTGAGACATTTTTCTAATTTTTAAACACAATAATTTAGAATAATTTTACGTTTCACAGTTTTATTTTTCATAATTTTGTTATACTTTTATGTAGACTTTATTATTTATAATTATCATGCTGTATTAATGCTAAATTTAAGAATTGTAACTTTTTATATAATTGAAAATTTTATAACTTTTTTTTAAAAAAGAACTAATAACAAAAAACTTTAGTGATTCCTAAGGACCTATATATTCCTTTGGCATTATAAAATACGTATTTCTATTATGGGTTAAGCAAACATATAATAAGTTAACCTCAAAATTACACTGTGGATCGTAAAACGCACCTTTTTCGCGTCGTGTCCTATGGGAATGTGAGGACCTCGACGAGATCTCAAAGCGAATCTCATGATCTGCCGTTTCGCGAAGATGAATAGTAACAATATTGTCAAAACACCAGCTGCTATAAATATCACTATGGTCACACCAGACAGCTCCTGTGTCATTCTCGCACGATATTCGAGACAGCCTGCCTCCGCGAACAATTGTTAACAGACACTAGTTCCTACGTAAGAATCGTATATCGTTTCGAAACAATAATATCAACTGTCATTCGAACTTTCGAGTAGAAAAACCTTCCAACAGCTGATCAACGTACGGAGTCGTATCTTGCGCGCATCACTTTTAATTAAATTAATAGTTATTAATATCTGGATTGAACTTTTAATTAGGAACAAATTGTATTAATACTAGTATACATCTAGTATTACTAATTAAAAGTAAATGGAATCTGTGTAAAATAAATAAATATATACATATAATGTACCAGTTTTATTGAAAAATTTAAGGGAAACATGGCGATCTCTTCCTCACTTGCACAAAGTAAATTGAGATATAAATTTAAACAGTATAGCTAAATAAGAAATGATAAAGGAATGACAATCAATAGTTGGAATTATTTTTAAACATAATTTCATAAATGTACTAATAAATATATATACTACTAAATTGTTATTAGTATATCAAATATCTATGAAATTACATTTAAAAATCATTATACAAAACCTAAGTTATAATTTAAAAAAATATCATTTCATTAGTTTAAAAAAAATATATTTTTTAATCTTTAAAAATATATATATTCATAAAAATATGTTAACCGGAAAAAACTAGACAATTACAGATACGTTTTTACACATGTGATTTAGGGATTACATGTTTTTTAAAATATTTTCTATAAGTTTTTTGAATAATGTTTCATTAACGACGGCGATTTCAGCTATTACATTTTTCTGCTCTTCAGTTAGTGCTGTATTTATTTTTAAAAACAACAATATAAGCTTTCCAAAGTTCTTATCTTTGGAATAACAAAGTGCTTTTTCCAAGAATAATTTAATAATTTTATCAATCATGTTGTGGTCCAGTCTTACAGATAAAATATTTTGTAATACAGATATATGCCATAATTTCAATTCCTTGACACATGCAAGAAACTCTCTGCAAAAATATTTGTTTTTAAATTCAATTTTAAAGTAAAAAATTATGCTTTAAAATATATATCATACAATAGTGTGAAACATACTCTAAAAGAATTATTTTCCTTTGCTGATCAAATGTGTTCACAATGGTGGTGACCAATGTTATATCTTTCAACTCAACGTTGAGAATAGGAACAAATATAAGTTGCTGAACCTCATCAGGAAATATTTTAATACATTCGACGATAGCAGATGATAATAAACGAGATGGCTCCTCGAGTTCAACTATCTATAAATATAATGTGAACAAAAATTAATGTATGATGAAAAAATGTAATAGATATCAGTAATATGTCATTGGTACCTTTGGTAGCAACAGATGAGTACAAAATATATTGAGATATTTCAGTCTCTGCTCAATAGTCATATCGTTCATTGACAGACACAAATTATAGATACCCTTCGGACTTAATTTTCTTGCCATTTTGTCCACTAATGGAACAAGATCTTCATCGGATAAGTTCTCTAACTGGATGAAGTCCAGCTTGCCATTATTTCGTTCTAAATTCTCACAGGCACATTCTAAAATATCACACTTTTGTGATACTCCGGTAATAGATGTCTGTGGTTCTATAGTTCTCTCAGTTTGTGTAAAGTAAAATTGAGTAGACGGTGGTAACATTGATTGATCACAGTTTGTTTGAGATTCATTATTGTCCATTGGCTCATCATTATCATCGCTATCTTCACTTTCTGAACATATTTCTTCTTCGTTCTAAATTGAACAGTTATGTTAAATTATTTATACAGAGAATTTGAAGTGATCTAATATTAATGAATTTTTTATTCCCATAATTATTTTATCCTTGTAAAGATACCGCAGACAATACATGTTATTTTAAAAATTAAATAATAATTACATAAACTTCATTGAGAATTATAGTTCATAATATGTACATACATGAAATGATACAATTCTAACCTGTTCTGCTATAAGTTTCCACATCGGATTAGCCTGGGCGATGTTATCCTTTAATGCTTCCCTGATAGATTCGAGTCTTGCCATGGTTTCTTCTGATAACGTGTACTTTTGGAAAAAGGCTTCTGAATCCGTATTTTCCCGCATCATTATTCCGCTCGCGTTGCGTCGTTTCGCGCATGTTCGTTGTATCTTTGTGTGTGTTGACACTTGATTGTAAGCGGATCAGTGATGTATCTATTGTTTTCTCAGGCCCTAAGTATTACAAATTTTTTAAAGATGTATATTTTTGTATAAAAGAAGTTATTCCTAGACACAAAAATTCAGAATAAGATAAATGCTCTAATTATTTTATTGATATACGACTCGAAATATAAATTTGTTGTTTTCATAAAAATTTAATAAGTAAGACAACTTTATTTAAAGTCGTACATAAAATTTTTGATACTTCGTTCAATAATTGGATCATTAACTAGTAGATACATTATATATTCAGAAAGTAATTAACAAAAAAAAAAAAAAACTAAATTAAATAAAATTTATACACATAATGAATTCTACTTAATTTGAAGCTAACTTTTACTTAAATATTATAAAGTTTTTCAAGTTGTTCCTAAGATTTTTTATTACTACAAAGTTATCGTGTATTAAATAAAAGAATTTTGACTTTAATTACTCATAACTCTGTTCAAAAATTATCGTAATGCAATTAACAAAACAGATTTTCAAAGCTGAAAAAAATTTTGCTTTATCGAATGATATAACTATCAATAATTAAAAAAAAAAAAAAAAAAACTAAATTAAATAAAATTTATACACATAATGAATTCTACTTAATTTGAAGCTAACTTTTACTTAAATATTATAAAGTTTTTCAAGTTGTTCCTAAGATTTTTTATTACTACAAAGTTATCGTGTATTAAATAAAAGAATTTTGACTTTAATTACTCATAACTCTGTTCAAAAATTATCGTAATGCAATTAACAAAACAGATTTTCAAAGCTGAAAAAAATTTTGCTTTATCGAATGATATAACTATCAATTAAAAAAAAATATATATATACGAATTTTATATTAATAGTAATGACTAATGCGAAAAAGGGACTTAATATATATTATAGTGTACACTTTTAAAATTTAAAGTGAGACGGGGGGGGGTATATATATGTTTAATAATTAGCGAAAGCAAAAAAGAGTTTTAATGCAATCTAGTGCAAGAATAAAAAAACAGACCTATTATTTGACAAGTTCATTAAAACAATCAAAGCGAGTGCATCTCCTCAGTCGGTCACGGCGTGCTTTGGCAGTACGCGGTGCGGTTTGTTTCATCATTAGCTGATTAGTCGGTCGAGTCAGTCAGGAGTCAAGCAGTCACTATATACTGCTGTGACTGTCCCTATAGTCAGTTGGCGATCAGCGCGCGAGTGAAGAGTGTGTCGTGGGTTTTTACGGATTAAAATACACGGTCGGCTAAAAGAGAAGCAGCTACAGCCGCAGTGGTAGATTTTTACCAATTATCCATGATCACGCCCGCAAGAAACGTCAATTTGCCAGAACGCTCAACCTTTTTTGGTGACAAGGTAAGCTTTAATGATTATCGTAGATCTTATGAATCTCCGCTTGTGCGCATTTTCTTGAATAACTCCGAGTGCCACTTTGAAGGACTTCTCCTTCAAAGAACGCCGGACCATCCATTCTTTAAGCACAAAAAAGGCGTTTTTGGAATTGTTTCTTAAAATTTCTTTACGAGAAACTATTTGTGTTGTAGATATTTGCGTCTGTAATAAGCGATGATAATAATGTGTATGTGCATATGCAAATATTATATAATTGATCGTAAATGCATAATTGTGGCTAATTTTACATCAGAATTCATGTATATTGTACATATTTGAAATTACTAAGAATGTTGAATTGGCTGACGCTGATGGATTAACTTAACAACCACAAACCACTGTCGATGTGACTATCATTTCTTTGAGCTTCACAGAATTCTCCTGCAGTAAGGAATTTTCTTTGTTCCTAACACATAATAAACGCTCTCTCTCTTATGTATTACATGCATGATGAATGACAATTTAAATCTCGAATAAAAATGTTATATATGTATACGTATACACATATAATACACATATAAATATACTATATATATTATGTATATAAATTATATACTCTACAATGATATACTTGCAGTTAATTTACGTCCATTATACTGCATAGCGATGGAAAAATGATAGCGAAATATGATAAAGTTCCACGTTTGACGTAAATCGATTATGATATGCCACCTGCCGGGTGTGACACCCGCGTTATTTATCAGGTTTCAACAATGGAAGATAAATTGCTCCGTATAATTCTAAATATCTTCGCTTCATTATTTGTTATTGCTTGAAAAAGAAACGTGACAAGCAGACATGTAATGTTACGAATAAATTGCTGTTCGAGCGTGAAATAGCTTATTATCATATATGTACGGTTTCGTCATACCTGAGACAAAACAATAATGTGAGATAACCGTATCGGCCTTCTATATTCTATCATGCATATTTTAATGTGTTTCATAATTAAAATGAATTTAATTTCTAGCTTTGTCGTATTTCCTCTTCTTCATCTTCCTATAGACTTCGTCTTCCTATATTACCACTATTTTTTGCATATATTATATTTTTTATTGATATAGCTATACCTGTATTTAGTGCTAAACATAACTTTGATGCGATTCCGCGTTGATTCGATGCGCGCGTTTGATTATATTACATGCGTATTAAATTGTTATTAGATTCCATGTTAGCTTCAAATTGACTTTCGATTCATATTAATGTATTTAAACTAAGATTCATTTATTTCTTTCATTTATTCTTCACACATTAATTTATTCTAAAATAAATTTACAATATTAATAATAATGAAAATAGCATAATAAAATAGTATTAGTTGAATGTTAAAACCTATCTCTTAGAAAAGCTGCTGGCTAAATATAATGTGGAATATTATAACGTTAGAACGTCGGAGTTCGATCTTGAGTTTTTTGTTCTCGTTTCGCTGGGAAAGGTTTCATCTTTACTTCTCTTTACTCCTATTTTCTTTATGTGATAAACTTGCAACTTACAGCAACGTCGTCCTACATTTAATACTGAAATAAAGTACATACATTCCGTTCAGATGTGTAACATATTTTGTTTTCCTCATTTTCAAGTTATGTAAAGTAATGGGTAAAAATAAAAAAGAATTTGAGTGATCACATTATGATAATATTTTATATTTAACTCAATCTTAAATTTTTATTCTTTCTTTTCTAATACAATTATATCTATTTGACATAAAAAATAATTAATCAGTAATTACATTTTTTTAGTAGTAATTTAGTCAGATAATTACCGAAACGTTTAAACTTTGGGTCGGACCTTGTTCAATTTGATTGCGACAAGAATTCCATGTATCCACTTTAGAATGCACTTTCTTTCACGTGACTCGGAATTTAAAATGATATACCGAGGCCACGTTTCTATATTTAGTGTTGTTGTATGATAAATTTAATTTCCATAATGAAGATTCCGAATTTCAAAAATTGTAAACTTGCCTTATTAATAGATTTTAAGAGACATTTTTTATAATGAAGTTAATGCTAGAGAGGAAGTATAGCTGGTGAAATTAAATTAGCATTGCTTAGCAGACTTGGAAACAATGATGTTTATTAAGGGTTTGTGCTAATAGATACATCGTTTCTAAGAACCGATTAGGCAAAGCGCCATAATCGTTAGGTTAAATATAGTGACGCACGTAAAACACTGTTTTTTTTTTAAACTTCTGTGCGTTTTACAAAAAATATAGTTTGATATTTATATGCTTATAGTATAAATATTTCTAATACAATATTGCATTAATACTGCATTCACATTAAATTTTTAATATTTACTTTGAAAAATGTTTTTAAGATTTCTGATCAAATTTTTATTTATCTTATATAACGTGAGAAGTAACGTTCTTCCCTAGAAACATTTTTTCTCAATTGTTACATAATAAATTTACGATCAATAATTCTGCTATTAAAATATATTGTAACATAGTAATTATTGGATGATATAGTTAGAGCGGGGGAGAAGCATATTGTATTTGAAATACATTTTATTTAAAATACAGTATTTGCTATATATAAGTATATTTTGTATTTTATATTTCAGCGAAGCGCATGAAAGTATTACGTATATTGTGTTTAAAATCGAATAATTTTTTGAAAGTTTTTATTATTGTATAATTTAAATAATAAAATTGATTGTCCATCTTAGTATTTAAAATATAAAGTTATACAAAATACTTTCAGGTTTTCGTTATACTGAAATACAAAGTACAAAGTATATAATTTATGTTTCGCTGAAATACAAAATACAATTGTTTTACAAATACTATTTTTCAAATAAGAATATTTTAAATACATGCTTACACAGTTCTGTTCGTGATACAATTTGAAATTGAATTCGACTGCGAGACGTTGTGTATTTATGTTCGATTATACGTTTTACCAACGAATGTTTTTTAGATAATCAATATAAGTATCTGCAAATTCTGCAAGTCATCATCAAAGTGGTTTCAACGTATTTACTTAAATTCACGTGTAAATTTACTTCACGTTCTCGTTTAACCGTTGTAGATTAGCAACTTTCAAGGAAATAGTGGCAAATGGAGCTGTATTTACAAACTGCAGATAAATGCTTATTTACGTCTTTACACACAAGACTGTAATCGATTCTCAATTTTAACAAGCTAGATATAACTTGCCATATGGTATAATTTAAGTAAATTCGATTGTATTCTATCAAATAAACACTGCATGCTTTATTATTATTTAAACGGACAATTCAATTGTTATTTGTCTGTATAATTAATAGAATTAAGCAACTGCATATTATATAAAATTATAAAAAAATTAATAAAGTACATGTATAGAAATGATTCAATATTTTCTTTGAAATACTTAGAGTAGAGTATAACTGTTATAATAATTAAGAATCAATATATATTTATCTACACAATATAGATCAATGAATCGTGATTAGTACATTTGTATCGTGATTTTGCTAAATTAAATTATAAATTAGTCGGAGACTAGAAATAATTAATCAATAGAATTCTGATTCGGCAATCAATCGGATCCTGATATAATCTCCTTAGATTATATTAAAAGATATTACGATACAAGAATCGTATCCACATCGAATTAGTTTCGTATCGTGAAAATTGGCCAAATAAGTAGTAATACGCACAGTAAAATTAATGAATTCAGTAAAATCGCAAAGTTGCGCATGATATTCTGTATCACTTGTATCATAAGTAGCGTTCTGAAAATTTAGATTGCAAACAAAATATACAATCGAAATTCGCAGAGCTATCAAATCCACGAAAGTAATACGGAAATTCCGCATAATTGTATTATAATAATTTTATTACGAAGTATTACCGACATGTTAAAGGCTTTGTTCTCCGTTCTGCGTTTATTTGTAGCTATCAAATTCATTAGCATCGTCACGTCGCGGTAACTGGTTTTGCCGTTGGAAAATCCAGATGGCAAGGCCGTATCGTGCATACATCTCGTTGGAGCAAATGCACGTTGTTATTACTGAAATGTACAGACACATTTTTGCACAGCGCTCGCCAACTAAATGACAGCTGGCTTTGCATAGAGCAATTTCATAAAGAGAAATCCGTGTCCAGACTGTCCGATAAAAAACGTATGAGTCACATCACTCAAAATCATTGATCGTAACTGTACGGGTGCTAAATAAAACTTATTTTTTCGTTGTCTGTTTAGAATTTAAATTGGTAATAATGCTAGGACGTTAAAAGTTGTGTGACAAAAAACATGTGAATGTATATAAATGATTGTCTATTATATATATAATGTTATAATATTTCGATTTATACATATAGTATATCACAATTGTTTATTTATTATAACATATTAAACACGATCATTCAACGTATCTATGTAAGTCTAAGTTATCTATCGCAAAGTATCAATGGCACTCAATACTCTCTTTTAACGTTTTTACTCACGTTTTTATTTTCATTATAATTATCGTTATACATATACATCCGGCTTAGTAAAAAATTCAACAACAGCATTGCTTAAATATAAATTAAATGTATTATGTTAACAAATTGTATGTTAATTAATTGCCACACAAAACAAGATATTGCGAAATTAATTATTAATCTAAAAGTATCCACGACTCGAACATAGTTTACATTTCATTCTATTATCTTTCTTCATTAGATAAACGAAGCTTAATTTAGATACTAAATATAGGTGCCAATATGCTATGTTTTCCGTGATGAACAATCGGTTTTATTTATTTTTCACGCCCAGTTGACTAAGTACGACTAACAGAGTTAATCTAACGAAGACTTGGATAATGCACATAAATTACGCAAAACCTTACATAATGCTTATGTTTGGGTTACTTTATCTGAAATTAGCGAAGGCATGATTAATTTCGTAGATATAAAAGATCGAGTTTACTAAATGCATAAACCGTGAATATGAATTTTGTGATTGCATAAAGTCAATAAAAAAGAATGCCGAGAAGTATCTTATCGGAGTGGCTTTTTTTAGATAATAAAATCGCGAGGTATTAGTGGCTGCTTAATTATTTAATTTAATCAATAATGCAAGTTTTTACGACTTAGAAACATTGTGCTTCTTGATCTAGTTGTTGCGCAAAATATCCTCTATACGATGTTGAATCGGAAACGTTTACTGATATGTCAATCAAGGCGTGGCATTTGACGCAAGGAAGTCGAGAAAGATTATAGTTCCTCGCCGCGGTTTTCTATTTTATTTTCCAAATTGAAAATCTTTTGATGGATACGTATATATGTATATAAATAAATTAAGAAGTAAAAAAGCTCTTAATTTCTTGACGCGAAATTTTCGAAAAGGAATGTAAAATATATAAGTTATAAAACTGGAAAAATGGAGCTATATAAAGTTATATAAACAAATACATGTTAAACATATTTTTATAAAAAATTATTTACATTGATACGCTTTTATATTATCTTCAAAATATCGTTACAGACGAGCTCTATAATCGAAAAGTATCTCGAGACCAGTGATACTTTGATTTTTTAAAATATATTCTTAGCAACAATTTTAAAGTAAAATACAAGATTTCAAAACTGGTTATACTGGTTATACTGGTTAGGTTAGATACACTGCTTATCTCATTCTAATTCTTTTATTTATTAATTTTCAAATTTTCCAATCAATTTCTATATAAAAATATATAGGATCTAGAAAAGCACATAGGACAAGAAATCGAAACAGAGTCTCGTTTTTAAATCGATTGTTCTCCACAATCCTGTTTTCTACAATATATATTATTTCTATAAATCCAACAATGTAATATATTCCATCGTTATTTCTCTGCAGAAAGCGCATTGTAGAGAACAACAATACCCTTTGATCGATTCTCGAGTTTCGATTCACTTGATTGATGTAATAGACGGGTCATTACACTTGTAGATTACACACTGACAGATTGTACTGTTCTATAACACATATTCTACAATAAGCCGTTAATATTAAGCTTTAAGTCTTAAAAGGTATGAAATTGATTAGTTACAATCGAATGTGAGAAAAATAATTGATTATAATCAATTAACTCTTACGGCTTAGAAAGCTTAAGTAATGGCTTACTGAAGAAAGTCTTGCGGAGGGAAAAAATTTGCTATGAACGCTAATTTTACGCTATAATGGCAAAATCTATTTGTAAATATAGGGGTCGCAAATTATTATATTTGCAGATGTAACAAATATTTATTTCGCGCGCGTACTCGCTATGAAAGTTATTTACAATAAATGTAAAATATTTATTCAATATGCAAATTTGTTTATTGTAAATATCAAAACAAATTTGACAATTGAATTTTGTAATCCCTTTCACGTTCATAGCAAATCTTTCCCTCTATGCTATTGTAGGCTTCAACAATGTTTCGAACAAGTAGAGAGCTTCTCTCGAATCATATGTTTTAAAATATTCTTTTTTACTACTTTTAGTATATCGTTATATAATATTACATGTATACTTTTCTGTTTATTATTGCGACATGTGTGAAACTTGTAAAAAGTCTAAAGATATACTGAATATGGGTCACGGCTGAGCTGATAACGACAAGTATCATACGTCGTGTAAAAGAATGTAGAAGATAGCAACATAGTTAAATATATAATTAAAATTGTTCTTGCTTCTTTTATTAATTAAAATAATATTTTCCTAAAATTTAAAAAATTATCATATATTAATAAGCAGTAGGAATGGTGGAAGTGGAACCTTCTCTCTTTCTTCTACATTACGAAAAATTAAAAGTTATATATGACAGCGTAAAAAAATAATTATGATTAATCTGCAAAGTAAGCGATTATAAATATTTTTTCTTGTTTTACTCTTAAAAAAAACTACTCTTATCTATATCATTAAAAATTACACATAATGAATATTATATAGAATTAAATATTGCAGATTGTAGCACTCTCTGATAGAATTTATTGATCAATTTATCAATACATCATAAATTTTATCTGTTAGAATATCCAGATCACAAAGTAATGGTACACGTATGTATTATAAACATAATTATAATTAAGTGCTTTCACATTTCCGAGATGTCTGTGATTAAAAATATACTGTCTGTATATATAGAATTTTTTGCCTTATCGATACAAATAACACAGTTCCGGGAAGTTTACTGTGAATACGGTGCAATGAGAACAGATTTAGTCACGAAAATATGGGATGTTTTGTAACCTTCAAAATTTGGAAGTTATATTATCTGCAATATTATATATTCTTTGATAAAACCTAAAATGATTTTTTCACGATAAAAATTTCAATGAACGCAATATTCTTTCGTAGCATTTTAAATAGATAGACACTCAAAAAATTAATTAGTGTTTCGTGAAAGTAAATGAAATTAGTTATCTACTAAATTAATGTTATAAATCGAAATAGCTTTTATTTTCCAAAATTAAATCTATGATGTCAAAAATATTATTTTTTACTAAATGTTATATATGAAAAGATAAATTTTAGAGTGGAATATGTTATCATAAAGTATTTTTTATATATTTTGCTACATTTTGGTCGAGATATTCCGAAGCAAATTAAAACTCGGGAATAAAAGTTTACAAATTGACGAGTTAACATATTCACACGCATGCTCAGCAAAATCATGTTGATTGTATATCAGAAGTGGATGAGAAAAGTGCGTATCGACCGATAACTAGATTACACACTTTGGTAGTTTACACGATATAGATATAGATATTTACACAGCAGTATTTAAAGACTCTGAGAGTTAGATATGCATGTCACGCAGGGGGGTCAACATAATCTCGGAATTTTTTTACGACGACTAGAAACGTGATTGAGAAGAACGTTGGAATTTCCAGTGATATTTTTCTTGATTGTCTCGGGTGACTTAGAATGAATCTTAAGTGCAATAATCGCAAAATCTAATGATTTATGGGATTTATCCATATTGTTTATATCTATTTATATAAAAATGGCGCCGATGTAGGAATTACCAATATTCAAATCACGTAATTAATTTTTATTTTGTAGAGCTTGGGAAAACCTAGGAAACGAATGTTGAAATATCAATCGTACGAATTGTGAGATAATTTGTTTGTATTTCGTAGTATTTTGAAAATTAAATTTAAATTTAGTATATAATTGCAATGTTTGAATACTGTACGAATATAATAACTTATCAAAGATCTCTATCTTCGATAACATTATAAATCTTTAATCGAACATTTCAATGCTCACATTTTCAATGTGAAATTACCGTTTCATGTGAAATCATCTGTATATAAGTATTTAATTACAGGACAATATTTTCAATTACCGCACAATAGCGTTTCAATTTTATATTGCTAACTTTTTGCAGACCGGAATATTATTTATTATTTTCAAAGAACTATGCAAGTGAATGATGCATGTTTGTATGTATCTGACAATAGCGCCGGAAGTATTATACATGGGTATAAGTGGATTGTTAATTTTAGAATCGCATATAATTACGGTAATGGCTAATGGCACATCCGTGGGAGCAGAAAAACAGATTCATTCAACAGAATTTTTATTCATCTTCAATACAAATATCATACAGTTTATTTGTAGAACCAATACGATTTCAATTTTACTATAAATTAAATTAAGATAACCTAAAATATAAATTGTCAAGTTAAAGACCTATTAAAATTAAATTTAAAAAAAATACATATATTAAAAAAGAAACGATAAACTAATTTTCATAAAAGGTTGCACATAAATTTGGTGAAATATTTTTCGTGAAATATTTTGTCACGCTGTTGATCGTGCTTCGTCATACTTTTCGTTATGACAACGAGAGTTCTGAGAATAATACTACGCTTGGTTACTAGCTGTATCTACAATACTTAACGAGAAATAATGTGAAGAGTGTCTAGTTTGACGTTAGTTGCGGCATTGAAAAATATCGCGTGTAGCGAAACGAATGCGAAACTTGAAAGCACATGATTTATATCGTGTGTTTTGAAAGTTATACATGTTTTCAATTGCAAATGTAAAAATGGGATCAATCCTCAAACGTCGAACTACGAGAACAACATACTTAAGTATAAGATACTCAATGTAGTATAAGATACTAATCTTCGATTACTTGTAATTTTCATATTGTAAACAATTTTTTCCAATCGAAAAACACTATTAAGAAACATAATTACCAAAAAATTATATAATTTTATTTATGGAAATTATAAACAAAGGAAGAAGCATTAAAAAATCCGAACTGCACTAGCTGAAAAGGCGTTTATTACTATATTACTATTTTTTAAATATAATTAATCGTGTGTGTGTTTCTATATAATATTTCATTTTTATATTTCAATTTTTTTTGTTTTCTGTCTCTAATGATTTATAATTAAATTAAAAATAGATAATATTTTATATATATCTTTTAAATAAATACAAAAATTTTTATTATAATTGTGAAACAATTTGCATTAAATATATGTACAAATATATAGCATTCATATTTATGTACATTTAGCGAATTTAGAAGGCCAAGGACACCCAACGTGAATATAATAGAGTTAAGAATTAAAATAAATATACATAATACGGCTCGCGCGCGCGTCCTTTTATTTAATATCCATGCACTAAGGAGATTTTATTAAGATGCATTAAACGTCGTAATTATCTTTATAATTATTCTTATATTTCGTTTTTATTCAAAAAGATTTTAGAACATTATCCTCAAAGCATTTTAACGTTAAGATTTCATTTGCAGGCATATCGAGCGTTTAAGAAAATGCCAATCTTGTCTCAACTATCGCGCCGATTTCACGATATGTTGACGACTGACGCCAAACCGGATCCGCCGCGGACTGGAAGCTACATGCACAATCTTCCATCGACTCCGGACGAGGAGTTGATAAAAACGCAATCGAACTCGATGCCCGCCATGCCAGAAAAAGAGCAGGAAAATGTGACGTCGATACAAGAGGAAAAATCGATACCGAATGGCGCAAGGCCGACGACACCCACCGATTTTTGTACAAAGCCGGAAGACTTCAATGACACAAGGTCGACAAGCGAATCAAAGGAGCACAAACGACCAAGGACAAAGACGAAATCAAAATACAAATATTGTAAGTAGTAAGAATAAGTAGTAAGAATAGTAAGAATTTTATATTGGGCTGTTACGAGTGATATATATCATTTTCAACACAAAACATTACTTAGAATTTTATTTTGTATACAAGTACTTTTTACTGTGTTCTTTTATCTGAAACATTTTTCTTTACTGCGAGTTATTTCGGAGTTTATTACAGCAGAGAAGACAAATATTATCGAGAAATGTTTTTTTTTTTACAGAAATAGACAATATAGATGTAATAATTTAATAAAAGAAGATATAATAAATCACTGTCATGCCTTTAATAATTATTGTAAATATAAATATAAATTTAGTTTTTATCGGTGTTATTCCATATTTACAAGTAGTGAAAGTATCGAGAAACCCGTCTTAACAATTGACATAAAAGTATTAAGAATATACTTACTTTGTCGACATGGCATTTTCTTGACCGTAAACTAAAGGCCTTGGGGCACATAAAAAAACTTAACATTTAAGCAGTAAGGAAATCAACCATACATTCGAGTATAAAATAATCGAAAGTAAAAGAATCGCAGTAAAGAAAAATGTTTCAAATAAAAGAATACAGTAAAAAGTATTTGTATACGAATTTCAAGGTAATGCGTACCGGCTCTAACCGTACAGCCTTCCATTTGATACAAAGTTATGTAAAATAATATATAAAATAAAACAACAATAAACTATTAGAGCATTTGTAGTGTCCTCGATCGAGCGCGCTAAGATATATGCACAGATATAAGTGCTTGTTGTGCACAGTTTGATCAAGGAAATATACAAGACACATATATGTTTCATGGTTGAGAAGAAAATTTCAGCTTCTTTTATTTGTTTTCGAAAATGATTTAAATTATATAATCAGAAAAAGCTGTGCATTTTCTTTTTAAAATCTTTTAATAATGTCATGTCCAACATAATAAAAGAGTGCTGAATCTAAAAATATAGGTAGACACAAATCTGAAAATAAGTTTGTTAAAATTATCAAAATAATTATAATATGTAGGATGCTTAAGCTAGTTATTAGAATGTCGAAATTTTCTGCAGCGTTGCTTATTATGCTTAAGTTTCTTGTATAATTATTTTGATGGTTCTACAAAATTATTTTTAAATTTTTATATATATCTAAATTTTTAGATATTTTGACAAAATCACGTGTTCCTTCTTTATTCAATTACTGCTATATATTTATGTATAAATATAGATATCAATTATTGCATGTTAATATATATTAGTGTGCACGCTGATCATTCAATTACCATAAGCACATATGAGACTACAGTTTTAATGCCGGTTTCGAACGACGGATTTTTCGAAAGATTTGAAACATTGAATAAATTATATGTATATTTACAAACAGCATATTTTCAAAAAGTCATTGGAAAATATCTAAATATGTGAAATTTATGTACCTACTCATTTTCCCCATTTATTGTTAATGTTGCTGTAACATTGAATAAATTATATGTACATCGAAATCTATTTCATTTTATAAAAATGAACAAAAATAAGAATGTTATGTAAATAGAAAATTTAAATTATTATATTTAAATTGATATTTCAACGAAACTCTTATTAATTCTGTTCTCTGCACATGTACGGTCCTATGAGAATTAAATCTCTTGAGGTTCTCTTGTTAATAAAACTATCAGACACAGATATAATACATTAAGAGCAGTTTTTGGTATTTATATATAATAAAAGATCTTTGTGTGTAGAAATTTTTTGAAAATTTATCAATGTAATTCTATAATTATAGACTTAGTTCTGTAAATGGAAATAAACTTCATTACATAAATAAAAAGACAAGATGCGATAAAGATTATGCAATGCTAAATAGGAATTTCGACAAATTGACGTATGACACATTTGCATTATTTATAATTTACTTAGCTACGAAAAAAAAAAATGGTTAAGAAACGAACATTACACAGATATCGTGATTTTATCAAACTTGAGTTAAGTTAAATATGCCGCTCTATATTCCTTATAAATATTTGTTTAACTGACAATGAGACACGTTATCATGATTAAAAGTGTAAACTCGGGGAATACCAAATTGCAAGTTTTTATTTACAGAAGTGTTAAAGAAAGAGACACAAGAAACAATTTTTTGGCTGTTGTTTCAATATTCGATTCTTGAAAAACCGTAGTATAAATGTTCCGTTCGCGAATCAACATTTTTTAATGTGCAGTTTCACGAGCAAAGATGTATTTATCTCGCAAAATATTTTACTTTGCATTATCACAGCGGAATCATAATATTGGTCAAAATATTGTCATGCAAACTGCCGAAACACCACTTCAAACATCGGGATTATTCGTCGCAATAGGATAACTAATATAAAACGTACAGTAGTTACAATATTAAAACAAATCGAGTGATATGAGGGAGTTAAATAAAGCTCGTTATCTAGGCGCCCTAGTTACGCGATAATTATTCGCAGAGAAGACGAATTTTTATAATTATGTAATGATCGATTAAAATATATTAAAAACAGTGAATATTTTAAGGAAATGTTTAACACATGCGACAGATTTCGCAAGAAAATTTCGTATGTCACTTTTTAAATAATGAAATGTAATCATAAATTTGCGATATATTATAAATAATTTTTTGAAATTAATTTTTAGCACAAGGTACGAATGTGGTAAATTACAACATAGTCAACTCCAATGGAGTGAAGATCGGCTCGCGCACAAGCTACATATGCAATGTAAATCAGTATCCGACGAACAATAATGCGACACAGTCCGAGACGAATTCGAAGCCCAAGCATCGGCCGATGCCCGAGGATGTGGAAGAGTTAAGCACGTGCGAAGAGGAGCTCGAGTTCGACGACATGTTCATTCTTAAGACACACATTGGGCACGGATGGCGGGATGTCGCGAGAAGACTCTCGTATTCGGACGGACAGATCGACCAGTTCGAGGAGAATTATAGACACAAGGGTATCGATGAGGTGAATATCGAATTCTAAGACTCAGATATTCTATCGCGGATGATTCATCATCAATCTTAGTGCTTTTTTTTATCAAATTGTAATCTTGTTTGAACAAGATATCTGAAATTTATTCGTTTATGATTATTATTAATAAAACGTTAAGTATTATTCACGTAATTAAACATTTCATGTGAAATTCATAAAATTCTTATAAATGTAATATATTAATAACGAATAATTTGTGCTAATTTTTATCCATGTACGATTTCAGGTAATTTATCAGTTACTTCTTGATTGGAAGCAAGCTAACACACACGATGCTCAACTCGGCACGTTAGTTAGCATACTGTGGTCTTGTCAGGAGTACGACTGCGTCGAACGATTAGTTGCAGCTCGCAAGAATCCGTCTTAGTTGAATGCGACAAATAAAAATATCTACCCAACTAACGCTTGTACATACGCTTACGCGAACGATTGTGATTATTTTTTTTACTCGAAATAGCATTTTATTGTTTTTATACATATTTTAATGTATAGTTTATAGTCACACGATATACGCACCATTCCGATTGCAAAAATCGGTTAGATCGACTGAAAAAACATTGTTCTAGACTAATTCGTATTCAGTCTTGGATACAACATTGTATGGAATCGCATTGAACCCGCATTTCAAGTAGGAACATGATCTGGTTAATGATACATTATAGACGAACTTTGTAACATCGCTTTGCGCGATACATATGTGTAATACTACAATGTGTGTGTGTATGTATATGTATATATATATATATATATATATATAATATATATACACATATATAAGATAATTCGGGGAAGACGCTACACTTAAGCTACACTTAATTAATTTTTTAATAACTTTGTAAAGTTATTAAATTAATTTACGAAAAAATATTTACATTCTAGAAACCTTTCTTTATTCATACAAATTAACGAAACTTTTGATATTTAGTATTATTGGAAAAAATTAATGATACCCTGCAAAAGTCCTTATATAATGGAAGTCTCCCTATATATGTATAATGGATAAGATACCACCTCCTATAGAAGATGTCATAAGCAATTAAATAATGTAATGTAATATAAATTAGATTTTATTTATTTACAGTCCCTAACCAGAGTTTAAGCACCGACAAGATACTATTAAAAACGCTCGACTCTTATGGAAATTCGCATGACTGTTAAAATTTAAATAATTAAGAATAATAAACTGATTATACGGTATTAATTTATAATTTATTAGTTATATCGTAGACATATATATGTATGTGTGTGTGTGTGTGTGTGTATATATAGTTTAAAACTTAATAATAATAGAGAGATTTTTATATTTTATAGATTATCAATAAAGATGATAATTGCAAAGAAAAGATTATAATTTTTAGGCAATATATAAGATATAACAATAAAAGTATATTCATTTATACAGCATTTATGATAAAAAAAAATCATGAATTTATTAATGTATTATCGAAATATTTATGTTAATAATCATAAATTTTTATTAACTATCGATAATCATTCTTCAATTATCTCCGGGTCCCTGGAACTTCATTGATAGCTATGAAAATTTGCCAGGGCAGAATGTTTTAAATAGTATTTCGTCGGTGGTTTAAGCCATAAATACGCACAAAAATAAAATAAAATATAAATTGAGGAAATATAAAAGAGAATAATTTAGGAAGTAAGTTGAACATACTTTTATTCATTTAAATATTTCATTAATTTAAAATATTTCAAATTATATAAAGTAAAAATTGTGTTTTGTATTTACCGTCACCTTCTCTCTAAGTATAAGAGGAATATACAATTGCAACTTTTATGCATATAAAAATATTACAAATTATGATCCATATCAGCCATATGACTGCTAGGAAACAATGATTAAAATCATATATCATTTGTGTATGATTTTACGGTAAGCATCAAAGCACAATCTCAGCTATTAGCGTATCAAATATTATAAAGAACATATTTCATGACCTTAACTTTTCGTATTTTATTGAATATTTTTTAATGTCAATTGGTATGAACTTTTTGATAGTTACACTTTTTTGTCCACTGTCTACTACATTACCATATACTTCTACTCAATCAGAATGGCCAATATATATACTATGATAAAAATATAAATAAAATGGCAGCTTTCGCCTTGTGCTCTCGAATAACTTAAAAAAAAAATTTTTTTTACATTGATCTTTATAAAATCTAGTAGAAATATATAAACATGTGTATTTTAAAAATACAATATTTATATTTTTTCAGTCATTATATAAAAGTCCATATACAAGTCCATATACACCTTTGATATTACACATTCGAATCAGGCGTTATGTAAGTAAAGTGTACGCATGTACATACAACTACATCTTATAATTATTTTCTTTCTTTCTCCTATCCTTATATTTTTAAATTCTTAGATGATATTAGATTAACGTTAGAAATTTATATATATTCCATACATTTTTGTAATTCTTTTCTTTCAAACGTCTTACAAAACAGTTTTATAAAAAAAGAATACAAATTTTTTGGATATATTAAATATTCTAATATAATTAGACACTGATAAATTTTTAACAAATTTTTTTGTAAGTAGTTTACCATTCATCACATAAAATCTTCACATATATACTTACATATTTTCTATTTATTTAATACTACCATTATTTTGTACTCAATAATAAAATTTAATTATATCTAGTATGCTACAAGGGATTTATTTAAATATATAAAATTATTTAAAATCATCAATAATTCAATATGATAAAATAAATATTAATAATAATTCAACTAAACATATATTAATTTAGATAATCGTTAATAAATTGAAATGTCTTAATTTTGTATTTGAATACTGGTAAAATTAAAATAATTAATCCCTTGATACAAAATAATTGGTCAATTAGTGGTATTGTGTTTAACATACTATAAATATGATGAAAAAAGAAATAAATATATAAACGTAATAAATGCGGTCAGTGAATGAAAATATTACAATGTATGAAGTTGTATGTAATAATTAAACAATATAAATGTACGACACGTTTGCTTCAATTATATTTAAATTAACTATTACTTTTATTTTTTCATTTTATGATTTAATCTGAAACAGCTTTAATTTCGGGTAGCACGCAATTTGTCGGTACCGTAATCATCGTATTATTTATATCGCTATCATCTATTACCTTGCTGAAGATTTCATTTTTACATTTATCAAATTCCTCTACCATTTCATGAAGCTCTCGATCACCGTTTATCGTTATAACCGGTGATGGCAATGGCTTTAAAGTTTGGTGATAGAGCCAGTCATCGTGGATCTGATGGATTTGCTTCAGATACTCCAACGAGACAGAATTCTCTTCTTTCCGACCTCGTTGTTTCATTCTTTCGTATACGATCTCAGGTGTCGTTCTCAAATAAACTATTTAGCAAAAAAAAACCAAATAAAATTAATATATACAATAGATATCTCTACAATTATAATTTCTCATAAAACCCATACATCATATGTACCTATCAAGTCAGTTTCTATATTGGCATTTTTCAAACACCAGTCATACCAATTTTCTAATATCGTAACTTCAACATCACGTAGTATATTTCTGCGTTTCAAATTTTCAACGAAGCACATTGCACTATAAACAGACCTCTCCATGATCTTGTACGGTAAGGGTGTCTTACAAGTGTGTAATTGGAGCATAGTCAATTGTACGTAAGATTGAAACAAGAAAGCATAGCGAGACGGTTCGCCATACATTAATTCCTGCAAAGCATTTTTGTAATGTTTAATTTACTTTTATCATTATTAATATAGATACACACAATAATATAATATTAATATTATTGTGTAATATCTCTATATTAATTATATTTAAGTATAATTATTAATATAAGCACAGTAATACTTTATATAAAATATGTATAAATTATAATTGGAAAATATTAATTTAATTATTTTTCTTGCATTAGCGTTATACATTTATTTTATATAAAAATTTCAATCATTATTTGATGAAAATATGTATTAACTGTGCTTAACAATATTAATATGTTAAATGATCACTCGATATAACACTTTTTCATCTTCTTATTTGTTGTAAAGTCTTTGTAAATAATTAAGATTTAACAACACACACACACACAATGATATAAATATTTATATTTAATTGTCTCTTAAGTTTTAAGGGAAAAAATATTATTTGTCTTACCAGTAGATTTGTTCCACGCACATCACGCCAAAGCTCAACAGGTTCTTCTAATACAGTGACATTATCAAATTTCTTGAAGTGACTTAAAAATGTTGTTTTACCACTTCCAATGTTGCCTTCTACGCACACAGTGAAGGGACGTTTATACAGTTTATTAATCGACCCAGACATTTTGATGAAGGCTTCAAGAGCTTTTTTACCTGAACAGATAACATGCTTGACTTTACTGCCTAGTGGTGAAAACATACTTAAAATCTACTTGGCTAAGAAATATGATGTGTCATATAATACAAATAGTAACAGTATGCTTTAAATAATATATATTTTTATATACGCGGGCGAAATGAAGCGTTATTTTTAATTTTACATTTTCTTATACTCAAAATCAATATATTTACTGTAACATTGAGAATGACCTGATCGGTGTCGAAACGTTTGTAATTATCTTTAAGTTTTAAATTAAATGTTATTTATTACATAACTGGCGCTTAGCCCTACAATTATTCTATTTTGTTTTATATTTACAGAGCCTTATTATTATTTAATATTTATATATAATATTACTTTCTTAGAATTAACTTGTTGATAGTATAGATAGAAGATATAAAACACATGACACAAACACATACACACATATATCTTAATTAGATCAATATGATTAAAGGATATCACAGATCCCTAAATATCATTTTATTAGTTTTAGAGAGAGAAGGGAGGGGGGGGAGGGAGAAGATACTCAATATAATTTTATCAGAAATTTTCCTTATACATCTTAATTTTTAGTCTAGTAAAGAAAGTTTCAATAGTAAAATATTTTTTTATTCATATGTCATATACATCTGATTTATGAACTGTGAGCCTATAAATGATATTAATAACAGATAATATTATATTGCTAATAAAGATTAATAACACAAATTTTATTAATATTTACTTATTTCCTTTCTTATTTGTATTATAATGATTGTAAGAATCTACCAATTACTAAAAGTATAATTTGCGATACTTTCTAATTGTTGAAACATTCAAAATAAAGCCTTAATATTATTACTTACACATATTCTTGGAATAAATTTATTGAGTTTTGGTTCACATATTTGCTTGTTATAGATATACATACAAAAAGATGCTTACAAATTGTGAGTTTACATGCTTCATAAGAGAAATATCTAATTTAATATGTAATTGCCTTGTAATAAACTTATTAAAGTAGAAGGTAAAGAGTATTTGAACAGTAGAAGCACAACAGTAATACAACAATAAAATTATTACCATAATTTGTAAAATATTAAAATAAAATTAAAAAATATTTCTTATTTTGAGAAGAAATAATAAAATGACTTAGACATTATGCACAATGGAGGAAATAATAGAAATTATATCAATCTTAAATATTACAAAAATAAAAATATTGGAAAAAAAGAAATTAAACGTAATGTATAATGGATAAAAATATGATAGATATATTACATGTCATATCTTATTTGTATCTATTGTATACGTTACGTTTAATTTTTATTTCTAATTTTTTTTATTTCTCTAATATTTATATTTAATTTAATGTTTATTTATATTCCTAATATTTAATTCATTGTGCACAAAGCCTTACAGTAACAGCTAATAAAATAATTTTTTCATTCGAACAGATAATTAAATTCCAATTCTCAGATAATATTTATATTTTGTTACTTACCAACGGATTATTGCACGGAATGTTTATTTGTTTATAATTCGAAACAAACTGACTCCTAAATCAACTTGATGTCAAATAATAACATTCGTATAACCCACAGTAGGCGATTGCAGTGCTCTTGACAAAAATGCAGTTTGGAAAGTTCGAGACGATTTTTGATCTTTCAGCTCGACAAGGCGGGAATGCGGGAAAGACTGGGAAAGACATCAACGGAGCAGAATAGACAACGAACCAGAAACTTTCCCGCCAAATCAAAACGCGAGCGCCATCTCGACAGACGAGCCCACTCCCCACTGTCCGTTCGTCAAATAGATGACGACATCACTCGTCCTAACTTTTACTAGAGGAACACTAGCAGTAGGACTCTGGACTAGGTCTGTTTCTTATTCTTGCTTATTTCCAATGTTGAACTGGTGCACACAAATGCAATAAGTTGAAGTGAAACGAACGTATATTTGTTTCATTTCAACTTATTGCATCGTCGGCATCAGTCAGGTAATGCAGGAATAAAGAACAAACCTACTAATACCAGCATGTTTGCACTTGTTGGCTTAATTATTGAGTGACAAAATGAGTACATGACAGTGTGCAATGACTCTGTTTATCATTACATGTATCCTACATCTTACCGCTAATGATCCGTAATTAATATTAATTCGCCATTGTTCATTATATCAGCATCATTAAATCGCGTGATTGTGGAGTATCGCCACGATAACGCGTTATCAATACACCGTACTCACCGGCGGAAGCCATCATTGCAATCTGCTGATAGCGAATTACAACGCGAAGACTCTTCGCTTGACAAGGAAACACAGTACGATGCTTGGCAATTGTTTTTTCTATGTTCCTGACATTTCTGATGCAACTTCATCACTTGATGCAACAATGCAACCGACAATGAGTGAAACTTCCACCATGGTTTCGACCGAGCGTGCGCGCGTTATATGGGTATACATGTGACGATGCGACAAATGATCTTAAGTATTGGTAGTAACAGAGAGAAGCCTGAAGAGCGGCCATGCCCGGGATTTAGCTACAACTTTATTTT